AAAAGTTTGTTCTACAACAACTAATGACCATCCACAATATGAAATCAAATGCATAACAAACAAGATACAGATTACAAGTATATAATTATTTATACATGTCAACACAGACACACCTTTAGAATCACAGAAATAATAGAAAGATCAAATTACAGAGTAAAATTTGGATATCACTTGTGCTCTGGTTCATAAAGGATGAGGAAAACTTTAATGGCAATAAAGGAGGGCAATAAAAATAGAAAACCTTTTGATGGAGAGTAACCCTGCCTAAGCTTCATTTCATTTCTAGTAAAACTAACAATACCGTGACCCAATGAATAAATAAACATGAAAGGAGTGAAGGTTGCTTACTTGTTAGAGTAAAGGCAAAGGGATTTTTCAGCTGTTGCGCTAATAGGCACTTCTCTTTTCCTTTACTGTCCCGTGTTCCAATCTCCCTATCATTTTCTTTTACTGCTTCGACTCCTCCCAGGTTTCGTCTTCTGATATGAAAAAAGGGCAGCAAGCCATCAAACTGATATCAAATGATTAAATACCCATCAAGCAAACACAGAACTTACCTCGCACTACAAAACACCCAATTCGAGGGAAGCCCCTGCACATCGCCAGCTCTGAACATAAGCCTCACGCGCACAGCCACGAACCACCACTCCTATGGCGCCAAAGCGTAATGACGACGAAACACCACCCTTGTGGCTACCCCACCCACAACGGCACGAAGAACCTCGATGAGACCGAACAGAACGGACAGGCGCACAATGCCACCGGACAGACAGAGGTAGACGAGATAATGGAAGCACAAACGAAAACGAAGCCACGAGAGAGGTAGACGAGAGAATGGAAGCACGAAGTAAAACGATGGCAGACGTAGACGAGAGAGGTAGGGCAGGGAGGTTTTCACAATTTCAGGAAATTGGGGACGACCTCGACGAATAAATTTAATGGGTCGAGCCTATTACCGAAGGACACACATCCCTCGCTATTGTCTTCCTGACCTTCGGTAGTTTAATTTCACTAAGCCCGTCGGTACTTCTCTTTATGGCCGTCGACACCTCACTTTTACAGACGGCCTCAAGGCCTTCGGTATTAAGCCGCCGGTAATTAGCCAATTTCTTGTAGTGTTACTTAACTTCTAGTTTATTAAAGCTTATAAAGCATCATCAGCGTTGACTTGGAACAAACACTTCAAATTTTATAATTCATGTAAAGCATCATGAAAGTGGACATAGATAAGCACCGCAAGCATTAAAATGCATGTAAAGCATTATAAAGTGATCATTGATTAGCACCAAAATCCTTAGCAAAAAATTAAGGCTACACTGCACACATATATATTAATAAAATAAACTTGATGGCCTATAATTGGAAGAAAAGAAGACTAGTCTGCACCACAAACAAGAAGGCCTACAACGTACACATATATTAAAGTAAACCCATGGTTGCAACAGTTTGATGTTGTGTTCACTTCAGTGGATTTTACTATTCAAGCGAATTAGGAAAAACGGATTTGGATGATAATCTGTGTTCGCATTCACGAATTTGAAAGGAGTGAAGGGCAAAGACTTGCGGGATGCAATGCATTTTTCATCTCCGCTGATGGAAGAGATTTGAGTTTATTATCTCTGAAAAATCCATTTTACCCCTCCTATTTGTTGGGTACATGATAGGCTCCTTGGTGCTGGAAATGACGTCGAGCTTGGTGTCCTCGAAATGGTGTGGGGTATGGACGTGGACTGAAGCACTCAAGGTTGAAGACGAACCACAACGAATCAAGTTGAATAGCGTGTTCAATTCCAAGTGGACGGTGACGATGACAGGTGCATTGAGCTAAACAGAAAGGGCGTGGACTCCAACGAGGTAATGAAGAACTTGAATGATGCATTCTCCGTGTTCGACATGGACATGAATGAGTTTATCACAACGGAGGAGCTAAACACAATGATGTAGAGCCTAAGGGAGTAATGCTCCCTAGCGAAGTGACGGAGGATGATCAACAATGTTCATAGAGACAGCGACGACACCATCGACTTTGAGGAGTTCAGAGTGATGATGATGATGGGGTTTCTCCATGACACCACGAGTTAAACCATCAGGTGGAATAGCGTGTTCAATTCCAAGTGGACGGTGACGATGACAGGTGCATCAGGCTGCAAGAGTTCATTGAGTTGAACACTAAGGGCGTGGACTCCAACGAGGTGATGAAGAACTTGAAGGATGCATTCTCAGTGTTTGACGTGAACAGATGATAACTTTTTGGCAAGTATACCAAATCGTTCCAAGTAATATAGAGTAAGTTCAAAGTATCATTCTCCCAAAGGACTTGTGCAACACATGACAATTCTTCCTTTTATAACTCAATTAGACATCAAAATGCACAAAACAACACAAAAAACTCTTTTTGGTATTTTATCAAACAGTTGGTGTGCAAGGAATTTATATTTAAAAGAAACTTCGTTGGAATTGGGTTTCATGAATCAAATGAAGATAAAACTCTGTACAATATATCATTATTTCATTCAAACATTCACATCAAGGCATACTAGTCCTAATCCCTTAGCAACTAGTTCTAAATTAATATATCAAACTGTTAATCCCTTATTCAATTTAACATACAATTTGCATTAAGTCTGATGCTAAGAATGACCAAGTTATTGAGTTTATCCCTAGATCCCAAATCACTTAGGTGCTATATCTATGTCCATATTCAAAGTTACTTTCCAGTAATCGGAAACATTCAAATAACATTATATTTCCATACAATGATATTAAATTCAAGAAAGAGCATATGAACGAACAACGAACAGGAAAATTACATCAGAGTGAGTTCATTACATCCAATTCCAACGAAAGAAAAATTTAACTACTCCTAGTCACTTAGAACATACACATTTGAAGCAATCCCTTGCAACAATGGTGTCTTGATGCCTTGAAGTAGTCTCCTAAAGTTCTTGAGCTGTTTTCGTTTCTTTCCTCTGTCCAGAACTTCTCTCAGGAGTTCTTTATATCTGTTTCCCACTTTAAAAGCCAATTGAAAAAATAACTAATTCGCTAAGCGCACAACTCTTTATGTGCTAAGCGAATATTCAATTGCAGCATATCTTTAATTGTCTTTTATTCGCTCAGCAAGTTGTGCTGGTGCACTGAGCGAACAAAACTCTATTTAGCCGAGCGATTTAATGTTGGCTTAGCGAGAAACATCTAATAGCACTCCACTTTGATGTATAAATTCTTGTACAATTTACTGCATACTTTCCTACTTCTAATTACAACTTTTCAATGAGGAAAACACATTATTTCATGAATAAATACAAATTTTGAGTTAATTAACAAGTTTGAAAACATGTATTTTTCATACTTATCAATTCCCCCAAACTTGAATTATTTCATATCCTCATGAAATCACAATACAAACAAAACCATAGACATTTGACATTTTGATAAAATGACCTTGCACATCAGAAAAAGTCACATGCATTTCCAAAGATTTCAAACAAGTATGACATGGTGCGTTCATCACCCAAAAGTTCACCTGTGCATAGAATATGAACAACCAGATCAAAATTTAACATCCTCACCAATTAAGTGTTTGTTCTCACATGATAATAGATTTGTCATAGAACTTCATCAGCTTTTGCATCTCATCTAATTCACATACCTCACACATCATTGGTTAAGTCAAAAGGTCTTTTCAGGTTAAAGCTTGGCTTGGCTAGAAAAAAAAATCATGGTTTTTCCTGGATTCAAAGTCACCTCTTAAGAAGAGAACACCAGTACATGCTTCAATTCTCAATTGAGTAATCAAATCTCAATATATATCACTTATTCCATACCATATTCTTTCACAATTTAACCTTTTTTTCAATTCAAGCACCCTTTTGATCAACTTTTTTTTTTCTTTTTTTTATATGAACATCTTTTCTTCCCCCAAACTTAAATTCAACCTTACCCTCTTTTAAAGCATAATACATGTTCTCTTCTAGGATGTATTGTAGGATAACATATAATAGGCTCAAGGTGGAAGAAAGAAATCAAGGTTCAAAAGGGTTCACAAATGTATCATATATGATGTATCCAGGTTGGCTATTTGGCCAAGAAGCTATGCAATCAATAAAAACACTGCATTTCTCATCCTTAACCAAAAAGTGTGTGTATGTATGTAGAATCACAATCATGCAAAAGTCAATTCTATATCTAGACAAACTCATAGTATCTCTCAATCTCAGCCATGCTTTCAACACTCAACAGATCTGGTCATAGTTCATACTTACACATAGATAAAATTATGAAGCACATTGTAGAGTAGCTAAACAAGGTGATGTACAACCTAAGGAAGTAATTCTCCCTAGCGGAATGACAAATGATCAACAGTGTTGATAGAGACGACGACGACACCATCGATTTTAAGGATTTCATAATAACGATGATGATGGGGTTTCTGCGTAACACCACAATAGAGTTAAACCACCTTCATAAACGTATTAACTTTTTCACACATTATTCTTCCTATTCCTCTTCTCTCACTGTACAAAAATCTATCAATTAAATATATTGTATGTAAATTCCTCCCATTCAAACATATGTATTTCTATTTATGTTACAATTTATACTTTTACCTATCCAATTTCTTAGCTAGATTATTTCTTTCTTTCTTCGTTTTTTTTTAGTTTTATCATTTATCATTGTCAGTTTATTCCATTTTTACCGAGGAATTAAAATACATTGAATTGAAATGTTTTTTTAATTTAAAATGGTTTGTTCTTTTAATTATTTTGTTTGGTTAAAATATTTTGAATATGGGTATTTAGTAAATAATACTCTATTCTTATAAGTTATATTTTAAATATAATAGTTGATTTTGCTGAAATATATTTTTTTTTATTTTAAAAAATAATTTTAATTCTTTTTCCTTCTTATAATATTTTTTATCAATAAATATACTTTTATATTACTTTTATCACTAAAAATATTTTAATAATTTTTATTTTCTTATTAATTAAAATATTATTTTATCGATATATATCAATTAAATTCTATCTTAATTTTCATAAACTTTACTTATAAATTCATTCTTATCTATTTGAAATTCCTTAAAAAAAAAACAAAACTCAATTTACTTTGGAATTTCTTCAAATTCATCCATCTCTCTCAAATCTATTCTTGCAAGTGAACATACACTACTAAAATCCGCATTAAGGCCAGAAAATTTTTTAAAATGAAGCAGTGGCAGCACAGATTTAAAAGGGGATAATAAGCATCATTGCACCGAAAAACCCAAAAAACACTTTTTAAGAGAAATAGTGGTTGCACCAGTTTTAAAGGGAATTAAACACTTCACCGAAGGCCATAAAACACTTAATTTCAAACATGTTCCAATCCAAAGACATGCATCTGATTATGTATATCGCCATTTATTAGACCAATTAAACAATGATCAAGAATAAGGTATTTATTTAATGCACAAAGCAACTCTGACAGATCAATTTTCAGTGCATAGCATGAAGTGTATCAGCAATTAGCACCAAAACAAGCCAATAGCCATATCTAATGTCCCGTATGGGCATTCACCGTAAGCAATTAGCACCTAACAAGCCAAAGAATTTAAAGTGTAAAGTACAGTATGGTCTAGAATGATATATATATATATATATATATAT